CCCCACCCTTCCCCCTTCCTCATTTTTAATGCATGATAAAGAATAAGAATAAGAATAATAATAATAATAATAAGATTTCATCTCTAAATGAGTTAAGAAATAAGTATGTTATTCTAAACTCTTAAGCATCTATCTATCTATCTATCAATATATCAGATATTAAATATAAAATCAAAAAGACCAAAAAAAAACAGGGTAACAGAACCAGGGCTTGGTGGTGAGGTCCCTCTCCCAGGGGGTTTTCAGCCACCAAGTCCTCGTGCAACCATACGAATGCAGTACTTGACCACTCACTGTGAAAAGGGCTAAACTCTTTCGTTCGTTAATTCTCACACAGCACCCACATCCAGTCTCACACCGCAACCCTTAGATCTTTCCAATCGATTTGTCGATTTGTCAACTTTGCAGTGTGTAGTGGCTGTGTGTCAGGCAGAGAGAGCCCCCAGGTTGGCTGCTGGCAGACAGGTGGGGAACTAGCCCCAGCCCTACTGCTCACTCGCTATGTGACCCTTGGCGAGATCCCCATTCCCAACCCTGGGCCATCTCCCCAACCCTCTCTTGAGGGAGGGGTGCAAACATCCAAACCACCAAGGTCCTCTCTAGCTCCAAAATTCAGAATTAGGAACGAGGGGTATATACCCAACACTCGACTCCATGAAAAGGATGTGATGGAGACTTGGTCTCATCCTGGGATCCGAAAGGTAAAGGCCTATCCTGGCTGTACACTTGATATTCAGGTCGATCCCAATAGCGTTTCTCAAAGTGGGGAGCCTCCTGGCTCATGTCCAGTTTGGGAAAAAATTGGCCCCTTTAGGTCAAAATGTGCCATTTGGTGTTGGTACCTTGAACCACAAGTGCCCCACTGGCAGAATCTGAGCGAGCAACGCAGCCCTCACCAAGGTTTTCACAGGCTTTAGTGGAAATTGCTGCTTGTGGGGTGTTTTCTAGTTCTATGGCGAAAGTAGGATAGCACCTGTCCACAGCCATGGATGTACCTTTGTGTTGCTGAGACTACAACCCTCAGATCCCGAAAGACCTAGCCAGCTTCTGACTTAGGAATTTGGTTTCTTAAAAAGAGCATTTATCTTTTTTTGCGAAATAAAAAAAAAAACAAAATATAACAAAAAAAAAACCCATAGAAAGAAATGGACTAGAGTCCTGTGTAGCTGCCCAGCTCTTGTTTGGGGTCTGGTTGCTACACAGTCCTTGGGTCCCAGTGAGGAATCCTTTGCTTCTTAGGTTACTTGGGTAGGAATCTATGCTCTTAGCTTTAAGTGTGAGCCATGTTTACCTTGCTCTGTGTACTTGCTTGCAAGTCATTGTCACCATTATCTATTGTCGTTCAAATCATGATCACAGCACACACTCACAACTTCATGGTCATCACCCATTGGTCATATGCGCCACCGCTGTCACACATTTTCGACCTTATCACCCACCAACCTCTACCCTGGGGTCATTTCATTACCCGAAGCCCTGACTCAAAGAATCTCTTCCCAGCCATTAGTCATTCATTGATCATCATCAGCCTCCAAGTGCCACCCTGAAACCCCTCCCCATTTTGCCCCACCCTCATCCTGGTGAGGGTGTGTTCCAGCTCCCCAAATCCCTGCCACCTTCCACCATCCCTGCTTCCTGGTCCCTCTCCTTCCCGATACCCATCCTCCCTCCTCCCAGGTCCCCTTCCCTGCCTCCAGCCACCCCACCCTGAGGCCTACTACCCCCATCAGGTCACCATCCCATCTCATTTTGAGTTAATTTTAAGAAAAATTAAAAAAGATAAAAAAAATACTAACTATTGACATATTCCAGGCTGGTTGAGAAGCCGCCTGGCCTCGTTCAACGTGAGACGTGGACAGAGTCTGCTAACAATTCTGTTCCTCAGTTTCCCCAATGGAAATTCTACAATTGGACAAAACAGATTACCCACTCCACTTTTTCTTTTTGATCTCCATGTTGTGGAGAGCAGCCCAGCCGCGTCTCTGATGACAGAGGGGGGGCCAGGCTGTTCTCCCAGCAAGTCCTCATCCATCCAAAAGATTCATCATCCACCATTCATCCAGTCAGGGAGTGTTTCCAAGCACCTGTTGAGTGTAAGGCGGTGTTCTTAGAGCTGTGGGATGCTTGGGCTGAGGGGGCACATTCTGGGAGGGGAGCAGATACACGGGTGTCCCCAGGAAGCCAAGCACAGTGCAGGTAAAAACAACCAACGGCACCGTGGGAGAGTCCAGAGCAGATGCCTCCTTCAGAGAGCTACCATCTCAACTTCCCACGTGACAAAAGATCAAGAAATCAGCCCCCATGAGGCCGCCCTGCCAAAATTCTACAGCGTCTACCCTCTACAGGAGCAGCGTTCGTTTGCAGTCTCACCATGGTCTTCACTCCTATCGCCCACTGCCCCAAGCACATTTCATGTGTGTTGGTGTAGTGTGATCAACGGGTGGAGTAGCTGAAAGATAGCTGTCTGGGACATGTTCACTAATTCGGTTCCAAATTCACAGTGGCGATAATTCTGTAACCAAAATGTTAACGAAATGTCCACCATGACGCTCTTTCTAGCCTCCCCCACTTTTTGCAGGCAAATCCAGAAGCAATGCAAAAACGAAACAACAACCTTGTGAACTGCGAAATAAAGGATCAAGGGCTATACTTGTGTTTGCCATTTATTTGTTATTCACCAGTTACACCAGCCCTTCCCAGGGATGGCCTTCACCATAGGCCAGGGGTACTGAGAGCTCTGCTTTGGCCCAGCTCCAGCTCTTTCGGGGTGGCCTGGCGCCACAAGGTTAAGGGGTGGGCCCTTGGACCTCCACACATCACCTGCCCTGCTTTTACCTGGAGAAACTTGAAATCTGGGCATTTCCTGATCACAGGGGCCCTGAGACCAACACCAGCGCTTGGGAGACCTTGTCTGTGTCTAGCTCCCTAAATGTGGCTGCCCATGGGAAGTGTGGATGGATCTGGGACATGAGAGGGTCAGGGAGAGGGGACCAAGGGACTCATCCACGAGTAGCTAGCTTTCCCACTTACAAGTTTGGGCCCAGAGCTCTGTGGAATCGTCCATGGGCTTTCCATGGTTATTAGAGGGTGGTTCCTAAGGTGAGAGAGAGTATATAGGTAGAGGGACCCCCAGCAAGGGCAACTTGGACCATGGCAGGTGTGTAGGCTCCTTTCAAACTCCTAATTCAGTCTCTGGATGTCTCGGTGGCATCTGCTTCTCCTCTAACCCCAGGGTACCATTAGCCATGCATCCAGTCAGGGAGTATACCCCTCCCAGTGTCCCCGCCGGGAGGAGGACCACCTCACACCTGCAGCTTTGGGAGCCTCAGTCTGGCGGTCCCTGCTGGCCCAGGAAGTGACCCCTGGTTTGATGTCCCACCTCTGGCCTCTCCCATGACCACCTGTCCCTTGCCTACCTAGCTGCCCGGGCCCCAGAACCTGGTGTTTCTAGGGGTCACCTCCCTACACTGCCCACCCTCCTGACTCCCCTCGCCTCCTTTTGGCTTCATCCTCTGCCCCTCAGAGGCCCAGGCCCATTTTCCCTCTGAGCACAAATGAGGCAGAGAACACGGGAGGGACTAGTAGGAGACATCAGATCTTAGACATGGACACTGTCCTAAAAGCTATAGAAAATAGCATGCTCATGTGGAATTGGGAAACATAGAAGCATCTGCAGGGAACACATTTTCGATGATGTATTAGCCCACAAATTCTTCAACATAGCCAGTGGGATAGAGAAAGATCCCAGCAAACAAGGCCAACCTGACCCAGGGACTCCAGTTGGTGGAGTAGGGAGCACCCAGCACTAGCACTGGGTGACAGTCACCTTCTTCACCTCTAAGGAAAGAAACAGACCCTCAATAAAATAGCCACATTGGCTTTTAAGGATGCATGACCAAGAGTGGTTTCTAGAGAAGCGAGTCTAACCAAATGTTAGGTGAAAGGGCCCAGGGGCCTGAGAGGCCTTGGGGTGGGGGATGCCCAGAGGTAGGGGGTAGGCTTGGGTCAGGATGGACCATGGTGAGATGCATCCTGAGCTCACAGCATGGGGACAGCGGTGGAAAATCCCCATGGCTACAGCTAGGTTCCAGAGGCCTTTGTGCTAGAGGCTGGACCCTGGGAAGGGGTGGAGCATTTAAGAGATGGGGCCAAGTGGGGGTCTTTAAGTCTGGGGTTCATGCCCTTTTGGGCCTCAGCCTCTTCCTCTGTCTATGTGGCTTTCTTCCTATGAAGTAGGTAGTTTTGCTTAGCAATGAGTTCCCCCCTGGATGTGCCCCCACAAGCTCAAGTGGTGGGGCCAACTACATCCTCAAACATGGAGAGCCAAAATTAAACCTTCATAATTTAATTATCCCAGGTACCTGTTATAGTCATGTGAAGCCTCGTCATACCTGGCAGGGAGATGGGCATCGCAAACTGGGAGCCAAGAGTATAGTGAGCATTGTGGGAGAGGCCCTAGTGGTCAGGAGCCAGTCCAGGCAGGCCTCGGGCAGAGCTGCCCACTGGACAGTTTGGTTTCGAAGCCCAGCTCCAGTCCTGGGACACCTGTAAAGCCTCACTATGTGTACCATGCTCGATTTCCTCACCCCCTTATAATGTTGAGGAAAGTCTCCCTGTCATCCTAACAAAGACCCTGCTCAATGAAAAACCCACTCCCTGCTCAGAGGGAGGAAGAAACCCAAGCCCAAAGCAGCGGTGCAGGAGGACTCTGCTTGCCCAGCCCATGGAGGAGGTCAGGCTTGGCATGTTGCTTTTTTCATGCCATGGCAAAGATGAAGGCACGAGGGTGACTAGACTGTGACCCGGGGATTCTTGAAAAG